AAAACAGCTATTAATATAACAAATACTCTTAATATAAAATTTATTAATTAACTCTTAAAATATAACAACAATACTAAACTCTCTTGGTTATAACTTATCATATACACAGGAATAATCTGCTTGGATCCAGAGCCTTATCAAGACTATTAATCAAGTCTTCCATCCAGATAATAGTTATAAACCTATTTTACAATTATGACAAGTCATTAAACTGTTATGTAAAATAACAAATATAATATTTTTTACCTTGACTCTTATTAACTAGATTAAAGTGACAATAGAATCTTTAACTTTACTATATAACCTAATTTGAAAATCATATTGCTCTATAGTTAATACTTTACTACCTATCAGAATTATGTAGAATTATATCAAACTTTCCAATTTATTCAGCTCTTCTAAATTAAATAACAAGAATATTTTACAAATCAAAGATATATTTAACACCAATCCACCAAAAGATATTATCGTTAATTTGTCTTCTATCACTATTCGTGCATTTATTCAATTTAAATATAATTATTCTAAATATATCTATAGTCTAATATCTTTATCTCTTAACTATAATTCTAATTCTTTTAATATTGAGTGAGTATTTATAACTGTTTGGTGCCATTTGACAAGATATATTGTTTTAAATTTTCTTTTCAATATTAGTCATATAATTATTATAGGCAAGCTAGTATTTAAATCATTGTATTTATATATGAGAGATATTGTTTCTTTCATGATATATATTTTGCTATATACAAATCAAATAAAAAAATGATGTTTACTTACTATAAAAAAAATAATAATAAAAATTTTGATTTTTTAATAATTACAAGATTAAAAACAAATAAAAAAGATTATATTAGAATAGTTTTTTAATTTAATTTTTAAAAAAAGCAAAAAAAATTATTAAATTTAAATTATATATTATGAAGTAATACTTTAAGATTTATTTTAACAATAATATTTTTTAAATCTAATTATATAAATTAAAAAACAAAATTATTTATCACAAATAATAAAAAATTAAACAAAAATTATCAAGTCAAATAAGTTTAATAAAAATTAATACAGGCTTAAACAAAAGTTTCAAATATGAATGTCATAATTATAAATAGTAAAAAAGATTATATTATTTTAAAAATCAATAAAAATAGATAACTAGAATAACTAAAAATTTTTATAATAATATTTTAATATGTTTCTCTTATAACAAATATAATCAAGATTGAATCTAATAGATCAAGTAATTTAAACTAATAATAGGATTTTATTTTCTATATAAGTTTTATTTGATGTACAAATCATTTACTTAATATTTAAAATAATGTATAACGGGTATACTGTAGTTGTAAAGGTCTACTAATAACTAGTAATAATTAATTAGGTAATATTAACCTTACTAATGGATGAAATGGAATGTTTCATATAATGACAGTAAACTCTTATTTAATAATAATTTTTTTATAATTATAGTTATTCTATAGGCTATAAATATTAAATTATTTATTAAAAAATAGTAAAATCATAATGGATGATTTTTTTTTGTCCTGGACTGTATCTTTTCATGATGTAATTTTTCCCACATTTACCCGGTAAGTCTATAAATATGAAAAAAAAAAACATATATAAATGATCTAAGTAATAAATACAAATTTTTTATCCAAGCACTCTTTTTTTATTCATAGATTTACTCGTGATGTCAATTACAAAAAGCAATTTAAAAGAATTTACTAAATCCGTCATGGATATACTGTATATAAAGCTTTATTTACTATATTCTGTTGACTTCAGGTCAAACATATTCAGATAAAAATTCTTTGATGTGTTAGTTTCACAAAAAAAAACGAAGTGTGCGCATTTCGATTTAAGATTTCATTCCCTAAATCCTTTACATAGACTATTTCGGATATCCTTCACTTAGACCACCCGTTGGCTAGACCCAGTAGGCTCAGTAGGCTCATCAAATACTATCAGATCATCGGAATGAATATTTGCATCTGGAATGCCAAATCCATTTCCGGTCTTAAACGATGACGGTAGATCAGTATTATTTCTTGATGAGCTTTTGAATTTATTTTTCAGAATGACGTTTTGATTTGATGTGTTAGTACGTCTTTTTTTAGATGCTAAGATTAATTGATCGCCCGTTTCCAGTTTTACAGCCAATCCGACACGTTTATCTGATTCATCATAAATCTCTTCTTGGATAAGTTCCTCTAAAACGTCTTCCAACGTGATAATACCAATTGGGATTGATTGCTCTCCTTTCACAACAATGGCCATATGACTTCGACCTTCTTGGAATGTATTGAGGATATCGAATAGAGGTGTCCCGGCGTCAACAGTCGGCATAGTATTTATGCCAAATTCACTTAATGGACGCGGGTCGTCCGGATTATACATTATAAAAGACTATGCATATTGTTAATTTTTGTTACTTTTAG